TGTCATCAGGTGTCAGCTACCATGCTAATCAGGGCACCACAATGAACTGATGAACGCAAACATGATGCTATCTCCTTTATACGGGCATCGACTTGTCAGATCATCATGAAAATGGGCTATCAGGTCAACACTCCGACCGGGTTATCACAGCATTGGAGTCAGAGCGGCAATGCGCAGTAGACCGTTACGCGCGGAGGCGTGAGATGAAGAAAAACTGTTTGCGTCTACGACAAAAGTTCAGTCCAGGTTTGGTGGTGCTTTTCGCGTGTCTGCGCTGTGTGACGTACAGGATTTCTTAAACTCTATGGTGTAAAGGGGTGGGGACTGATTTGACCCCAAAATGTTTTGACTTCTTCTAGACGTGATCTGCGCATATTACATCTAAATTTAGGGAACATCGTACGCGCAGAGGCGGTTCTGGACGTCAGTTTGATAGTGACCTTTAGCGAAACTTGGCATTAATGCTAAGGTGGTGACCACCGCGGAACAGTGCCCACCGTCTTATATTTATTGGAGTGGCTGCTTGGTTTAGGGTGTTTAGAGCGAATGTAAACAGCCGCATCATGGGTATCATTATTTCAAGATACTGGCATGCCTCTGTCATGTTGCTGTTGGTATTATATACCAAAAACAGCATGAAGGGAGCCGTTCGAGAACTAGAACAACGGGGATTTGCACACTGTGCGAATCGCATTGCGATCGTTGCATAACGAAACGACTTATTACATACCATCATCACTTATGTGCCACACACATCATCTAAAAAATATCAGCATGTCCGAGGCAAGTTCAAAAACGATAGCAAAGAATGAATGACTTATTGCGGTAAACAGAAACGATGGGCACCGGCAGCGAGCCGTCAAGGGACGGCGGACACTTCAACACGTCACGTGTCTCTGCCATCAGCTTCAACAGGTTACTGTAAAATCAGGTGTCCCTCCCCGTCCTGCGGAAACCTAAATTTTTCGTGGCACATGCTAACACGCGGTCAGCACCGTAATTGCGTGTGTTGGTAAGTGCATTTATGAGCAACGATATGCATTTAAATAAGACAGTATTAATAACCTTATTCCTCGTAGAATATCCACGAGATTGGAGAGTCGGATATGCTAATATTTCGGCCACATGCCTTGATCAATGTGTCAGTTCAAATGCATCGCAATATTTTTTTTTGTCCATGTGTTTACCCCCCTCTAAAATGTGTGAGGCTTCCTTGTTTGTGACTGTATATTTTTGCGAGGAATCAATTTTCGTTTCATGCTTGATAATCTGCCCAGTAGTGCTCAAGATAACAAGGGGTCTGAATGACCCCCCCCCCACCCATATCATTACGCAGGTTTGACAGGCCTTAATAATGAACATAATTCAGTTTAATAATATTCTCCAGATAAATCATTCAATGTCCCAACGTAGCAAAACGTAAGCTTTATAGTCAGCGGCATATAATGCGGTTCACCTGTTCACATTCGCACGTAACTGACATCGCAGTAAGTGCGCAATGCTTTCTCAAGGTAATGTATCGTCGGGTGTCACCACACGGGACGGCGCACCGACCGCAGCAAAAACGCAATGCAAGGCGACAGATGCTCTAGCCAAAGTTAATTGCAGGCTTCTGAAGACATGGTGCGATCAGGTGCTTTCGGTGGCGATGGGCTTCAGTGGTCTGCGTCGGGGCTATCCGACCGGCAAATGACCGGCTGAAATGACGCCCAACCCGACATAGATTATGCGTGCAGACGTCTATCTGCACCCCGCAGGACCCATTTCGATGAAGTGGATAGATTAATGAACGGCTCGAAAACCGTGTGTTTGCGGCGGAATATTAGTTAGCGTCTTTGTCATTTGTCATTTGTCATGCTGTCATTTGTCTCCAAAATAAAATGATGCCGGGTTTTCAGAGCAGAGCTAGCGAGTTATGCTATTTGAAGACACTGCTAAATGAGCCGGTTAAAAATAGACGAAGTTAATTTTAACATCGGAAGTGCACACAAGGGTGAAAGGTGTACAGGGGGCTCGTGCACACCAACCCGTTAGGAAATGACAATGACCAGATTTCAAAAAGAGATATTGGAGAGGCCCTACGCCAGTCAGGAGTCTCACTTCCGGGGAGCCCAGGGCCATTTTGTTCATTCATTCATGAATTGAAGTATTCGCTCACGAAGCATTCGAAATCGATCTGAACGATCACTGCCTTACATGTGGCCGTTATCGCCGTCCGTTAGAATTCGCCTGGTGTTAGCTACGGGCGGACGCTGCGCGGCCATGGGGAGACTGCAACACACGACAGCGATATTTTTGTTCCAAAACACGGCGAGCGAGCATGCTCAAAACTGTTTACTTTCAACGTTTTGAGCCCCGCATTAAACAGTAACAAAAAATAGATGAATACTCACACGAGAACTTGGGTTGGCCATATCAAAGCGATTTTGATCACCCTGTTTCGATCTACGCCGGTTCATTGTAGAAGGCCAGGAGTAATTATCTCCGTAGGACCTTGCTTTTACAGGGAATGCCCCTGGCTGTTATCAGCTTAGAAAAGGTCCAATCAAGCTTTTTCCTTAAAAAAAGGTGACACGCGTCGTCAAGCCCCTTCTATGGAACGTCAACGGCTGCATTGTCTATATCAGCGCTGAGTAGCTAGAGCGGATCGGCTATTTGGTGCAGTCATTGAATTCCCGGCTCTTGCATTTTATTGACTCCTAATTACAAGCAGAGTGACATGTTTGCGCGGTTTTTGCCTTTCGTTTTGGCTGAAAGGAAGTAAATACATCGTTTTTATACAACTTATAAAAATGGCACAATCGATATAAATTGAAGCAAATCAGATGAGTGTTTTCCTTTTCAACAGCAGAAGCCACATTCTTCAACCCGGCGCCTCTCCCGGTTACCAAAACTCTGTCTGCGTCTCAGATCTACCGATAACTAAAGACATATAAATGCTTAATGTTATACTTATGACATTAGCTAAGACAATTTAGATGTTACGTTTTGCGGCAGAACAACCATTAACAAAACTCAAAGTTTTTCGCTCATGAAGTGAGGAAAGAGCTTCTTCCCTACGGTCATTTCCCTTACCGGCTATGGATTTCAGTTTTCCTTTTCACGGTTATGTCACGCATTGAGCCGCATACAAACAGTGTCGTAACGCTCTCCGCGGTTTAATCCCTGCGTATGTTTATTCGACTTCAATAACGTATATTTTATTCAACATCAGAGCAATTACTCATTTATAACTGATTTTACACATTTTTCACGCATGTTAAACAAAAAACGCACACGCACACACACGTACAAACTGCAGCAGCCTGCAAACATTGTAAATACCACTAAATCGCCACAAGTCGCAGCACCAAACGTACCACAAAAGCGTACACTTCGGTAGCCCAAACTGCTCCCTTAAATGGCACAAAAAGTAAGTCGTATGCCCTTTGGAGGCAGACGTCTGAAAATCTCTAAAACCACAGACCTGGTCCAGGCACCAATTCCTACAGCACCCTCAAGAATACGAAAGTGCTCATCACGGCACACGAGCTGCCTTAAAGAACCTTTCAGACGTCTCTTGCGACGTCGTCACCGCATGCAACAGTTCTGCAGCCCCACATTGCAACATTGCAAGCGCGGTTCCCACGGCATGACCCGGTGTGACCCCAGGCGTGACCCACAACACTGGCTGTGAGCTCACTGACTGGCTCCCCACCGCCCGATCACACCACCAGCGATGGCGCCCTCGCCGCGTAGTCCCCGATGCGCTGCGCCGCGTAGTGCTGGCCAAAGTCGCGGTCGCAGCGCCGGCCGTGCTCCCAACCGCAGCCGGCGTCTCGCGTCCCGGCGTAGTCGCCGGTCAGCAGTGTGAAGTGCCGGCCGCGCATCGGCGAGTCGTGTCCCAGACCGGAGCCGGCCGGCATCAGCATCGGACGCGTCTTGCCGTCGACGCCGACGCCGACGCCGACGCCGCGCAGCGCCGCGCCGGCCCCGCCGCGGCCCGCCGATGACGCGCGCCGCCGCCGCCGGCGCAGCAGCAGCAGCGTCACGAGCGCGGCGCAGAACGCGGCGACGAAGGCGACGGCGGCGGCGGCGATCGCGGCGGTCAGCCACCAGCCGCAGCCGAGGTCCGCTTCGCTGAGCTCAGTCAGAAGACGGCCCGAGTCCACACAGCGGATCGGGAAGAGCACTGAGGTGTTTGGCAGGTGGGCGGGAAGGTCCCACAGCCACCGCGCCGAACAGTTGCACACTAGGGGGGTTACCGCTCACGTTGAACGCCTCGATGCGCTGGAGCAGCGACGTTATGTTCTCCAGCGTGCCCAGGCTGTTGCCGCCGAGGTTTAACACTTTGAGGTGGGGCAGGGAGTCCACTGCTGTCCGGGGGAACCACCTAAGTTGCGGGTTCATGCACAAGTGAACCTCCTCCAGGAGGAGGTTGTTACTGAAGATATGTCCCGTCACTGAGGACAACAGCTGGCTCTGGCACAGGCGAAATACACGAAGCCGATGCAGATTGTCCAAGTGCCGCGGCTTCAGTGACGAGAAATGGTTTCCGCTTGCGTCTAGCTTCTCAAGCTGCGGAAGAGCAAGTGACGCGGCTGGGAATGTTTCCAGCCGATTATAGCTGACATTGAGGGCGCGCAGCTCATACAGGTACGCAAAGGCCTCGGCATGCACGCTGTCGATGCTGTTCTCGGCCAGTGACAGGCTATGTAATGATCGCAGTTCGAAGAAAGCGTGGAAAGGCACTGCCTGCAAACGGTTGCCATTCAACGCCAGAGTCCTGAGCCGGGCCAAGTGGCGAAACGACTCCGATGGAAGGTGCGTTAGCCGGTTATGACTCAAGTCCAGTGTCACCCAGCTCGCCCAGGTTTTCGAATGCGTTTCTGGCGACGGTCCTGATCCTGTTCCCCCCAAGGTTGAGTGTCTTCAGCTTCAGCATCCACCGGAACACCGGCCGGTCCAGCACCGTCAGCCGATTGCCGCTGAGGTCCAGACGCAGCAGTCGACGGAGACCTTTAAAACGAGTCGGGGAGCAAGACGGAGAGCAGGTTGTCCTCTAGTCTTAGCTGCTTCAGCTCCTCCTGCATGACCAGCTGTCCTTCCCCGAGCGATGTAAGGCTGTTATCTGCCAGGTTCAGCTCACGCAGGCTCTGGTAGAAGCCGAGTGTGTCCTCTATGCTGCCGATCCTGTTGCCCTGAAGTTGGAGGATGTGAACGCGCGGGTCCAGGGAGATAGGCACCGCGTCGAGACGGGAGTGGCTGCAGTCCGACGTGCTTGGTCGACAGCGGCACTGCTCCGGGCACAGGGCCGCCGCGAGGTCGCAGATGATCGCCAGAGTCACGAGCGCCGCCCGGACCACGTCCGGGGAGGACATCGTCCGCCTCGGTGATGGTGCCACTGCAGGGAGACAGAACGGCGGTCAGGCAAGCAGAGGGACGGTTAGGCAAACATTTCTTTGCCGGGCGATCCGGTGCGCGAGGCGACGGTGATGCAGCAAATAGTTCGCCTTTTGTTTAGGCGTCGACACGGGCACACACGGAACAGTAGTAAGGATGTTGTCGACAAGGCGACAAAGCTGTTCGAAACATAGCAGCGGTCTCAAAGCCTTTCGTCAAGGCGATCGAACTAGGCATCGGAGAGTGGAGACACTTTGGTATCGCGTTTCGGATAATTAAGAGCGTTGAGCTTAAAGTGCCGTCAATAAAACACTCGTATTGCATATCCCCACTCACATTACAATGAAAGCCCTCATAAATTCCTTCGCTAGCACCTGTGGGGGGGGGGGGGGGCTAGAAGTCAACCCTTTTCGGTTTTGGGACACTAGCCACAAAATCAAGCGGGCGAGATTGGGGCAGCATTTCAAAATCTAACTCGTGATCTAAACACCGCTGTATAAATGCGTTGTATCCGTGCCTGTGCCTGCGTGCGTTGCATGTATCATTGTAAACGAGAGGAAACGATGAAATTTTGTTCGGCACCAGTTGCAAAGCTGCATGTTCAATAATGCCGAAAGATGTTAAAAACCTGAAGCCATATCAACATGTTGGTATCAAGGTGTTTTGTGCAACACGTAACGTCACCAATTACGTCACATATCCCAACTGAACGATGCTGAGGTGGGTTACGACAGTTATCGGTTGCTGTTCGAATTTTTCCGGTCCCGTGATTAGATTCTGAGATGGTAGTGGGCTGAGGGGTTACTTGTATTACCCAGACGTTCGATAATCGCCAGCTCACAGGCAGTGGCGGCGTTAATGTTAAACATCCCGGTCAGTGTCGGGGTATTTGTGTAACATTTTTAGCAACGCAGGGTAATTTGAACGACCTCAGTGAAGTGGATCGTTTATGAACTCTTTTTCACTGTCTAGTTTTGTGAACAGGATTGGCACGGGAATTTCAAGTGATGAAGAGGCGCTTGAACGACATGACTCCCTCGAAATGTTCACAGGGTAGATTATTAGCTGTGGTCTAATTATTGCCATACGTGGGTAAAAATCTACAAGCAACGCTAGCTCAACAAGATATATTCCTATATCAAGTTATTACGCCGATGCCGGAGTTCACCAAGATTTAGCGGCACTTCTGAAACTGCGTGATACACCATACATCCTGAATTGTCTCCGCTTCAGGTCAAAGTCAAAGTCCACTGGTCGGGCCGGACGCCAGCCTCCGTGCCCTGTAAATGGGCAAGTCCAGACAGCACCAGCCTCCATGTCATGTAAATGGGCAGTCCAGACAGCACCGGCCTCTGTGCCATGTAAACGGGCAGGCCCAGACAGCCCTGGCCTCCATGCCATGTAAATGGGCAGGACCATGCGGGCACAGACCTCCATGCCAATGGGTCTGAGCTTGGTCTATTTGCTGGCAGAATAGCCCATGACAAACACCGGTACACACTAGTGACTCCGACTTGAAGCGAAGACAATTCAAATGCGTGGTGTGTCATGCAGTTTTAAAAGAAGATTCTTAAACGCGGGGAACATTCCTTCTCAGTGTATAGACTTTCTATCCATAATGTTTCCATCACTGAAATCTTCATCGATAGATTGTCTACACTATAGCCGCTTTAAATCGTTCTTGTTGTGTGAATACTTTGCCTGGATCTTTATTTTGCTTTCTCTTGTATGGCTAGAAATGTGAGGGAAATTTCCAAGATTACTCTTGGGGATCCGGAACTTGTCAACTTATGGTAAGTAATGATTCTTTTCTTTACAACCCTCCGCAGCTTTCCAAGAAAACGAAACTGTTTTCATTTCAAAACAAACCGCGTCTCTATTTTCCAGCCCATAACAACTCAATTAAAGCGCATTGCATTTATCCTATTGTCACAAACGGAGTTGACTCGAGTCTTAAGTTCATTCATAAAACATAAGCGGTTTAAAGCCTCCCCATTTGCAGCCCTTGGGTAATATGTTAGAACTTAGGAGCCATAGAGAAGTGGGGGTGAGAGAATGCCGACGAACAGAAGAACTTGTACAAAGGACATTCAGGAAAACTCGACTAGATGGCCTTAGGTCTGACAAATTGTTGGCAATCTCTGACAAATATGTCTTGAAGTATGAAGGCGATTCATTGCCTTTCCTGCGCGCATTACGATGATGTATGAACAGGAATAACATCCATTTTCAGTGTCAGTACCATTCTCAGCAAGCCACATTTAATTTCTTGGTTGGATAATCGCTAATACTCAGTGGCAAAACCACGGCAAGCAGGCGATTGGGTGCGACGTCATCTTGATGGTCCGATGCGGCCCGGTCGGCGCCGGTTCTCCGTTCCGCTGCCGATCATGAACATCGGTCCACGCAGCGTGATGGGCGTTCATGCAACGTTGGATGTGGACTGTTACCAGAGCATGTGGTAGTCTGCTCAATCACTGGCTGTTCTTCGGTGAGCCTCACAAACAGTCTTCATCCCACGAGTGTTATTCGCAGGTCTCGCCAAAAAGCGACTTTGGCAAGTACTCTGTCGGTCCAGACTACCTGTCTCCCCGCCTCCCTCTCGCCCCCCCCCCCCCCGCCGCCCCGCTCCACACTCGTCTCTCCCTCCACAATTTCTGGCAGCGCTCGTCGTGTAACACACTGAGTCAACCACAAACCACGGCGTCAAGGGACCAAAGCAGTGCACCCATCACTGGGATCAGAGCACGCCACATGTATGAGCATGAGGGTATGGGAGTGTTCCACAGTGGTAGTCAACGAGCCCGAAAAATCGCAAATCTGAAGGACTCCCCAGGGAACAGAAGTCCAGGCCGATCCAACAAGCGCTTCATGCAAAACAAAGGAGAATCAGGGACGGCAATATATCACCGACTGGGTGTTTTGGGTCATTACGGTACGTCAGGGGACAGCGATAGGGGCGGGGGGCGGCAGGTACTCGGCGGAAGTCAGACCGCGATGGTTGCAACCATTTGTACCCCACGACACACAACCGCTGGGTCAAAACCACGCTAACCACCTAGCACTTATCATCCACCAGCATCTACCGCCAAAATCAGAGGGCCTTGCCCATAGCACACCCGGACAGTCACCGGCGCAAACCCATTCAAAACCAGTTGACGCGGCGAACGAACGGCAGCAACTGCGGCCTCTGACCAATCAAGCAAATGGGCGCCACGCTCACGTGCCGGCCCGGGCATGCTGGCTGATGATGTCCGGTCGCCGAATGGCCACATCAGCAGTAACGATAACGGTCAGGTCAACGATCAGGGGCGGTCCCAGCACGCAAGTGGTGGGGGAGGGGGAAGAGGGAAGGGAAAGGGACATCATGGCGATTACCAGGTGGAGGAATCGCGCCTTTGGAAGGTATTCTGAAATGTTATTAAATCGATCAAAAGTGAAAGATTTGCTGTAGCAAATGCACGAGAGCTCTGCCGGACTACTGCTGCGGAATTTCCACCGCTCCTACAATGCACCGGCAAGTCTCAAACACGTCAGGATTCACCTCTGCTTTTCCTTTCGATAAAGGCATGTTGCCGAAATATCAATACATCTTTATCTCCATTCTCCTGTTTTTTATTACGAGAAATAAGGCTATTACTACCGTGCTATCTATGTCCATAATGTTCTTCGCAAATGTACTTAACAACTTAGATCAGAAGATTAAGAAGATTAAGAGTTATTTGGGTGGATACGCTTATCGTAATACCTCCTGCTTAGCCTCGAGCTAACCATGGCAAATTAAGGTTGGGCGATCAGGAAGGCAGATAACGGAAACGCAAAAACACGGATATCTATACTGGGACGCAAAGGTCCCATGAAAACAGACCATCGTGTTTCGGCATAGCACCATGCCATGTGGATGAACTCCAGCTGGCTGGCCAAAAATTAGCCTACCATCATGACGGATGGGCTGAGCCCCCTCCCATTCAAGAGGTTTCTTAGGAAAGAGTGACGGCTGATGTGATGTGATGATGATGAAATGATGTGATGAAATGATGTGATGAAAGAGTGATGTCCGGCGCTTATGTTCCCCTGAGGAGGCGTTCGCTTTCCCTGAGGAGGCGTTCGCCCGCAGTGTTACATGGGGCAAGGTCCCTGTCGACACCAGCAGCGCTCTACCATATACGCCCCTGGCTATAACGAGCGACAAACAGCGGCCAGCGCCGCTCCCGGTGGTCTCCTGAATTATTCAGGGGGGGGGGGGACCTGGAGCCGCACCAACTGGCGACCCCCATCCCGCGCCCGAGGTGTGGGTGGCCACCGCTGATGGCCGCTGCCAACCACGCCGGAAACGACGCTGAGCCGGAAACGACGCTTATGTCGAGAATGGTATTAAACCGGATGCGGCAATGGCGTCGGAAAAGTCACTTATGACTGCCGTTACACGCTTGTTTGGGGGAAAATGAAGTCCGGGTCCGGAAGTTGTTTGACTTAGATGCATAGCAGTAATTGAAAAGTACTTCGATCTGTCGAAAGGATCCTGGGGCGCCGAGAGCATCGAGTGTAGTAGTGTTTACCAGACCATACAGGTGCGTAATTTCCTATTCTGCAGAGGGAGCCACAGTCGTCCCCCTGCTCCCCCCCCCCCCCCCACCAACTCGGGATCCAGCCCCAAACATCGAGTGCAACGTGGCCAGATACGGAGATAGACCCTTTTGTTGGCCATGTTGGCATAGTTTTTCGTCATTTTGCATTGCTCAGCCCCCAAAACCTATTGGGTGAGACCACGACCTTAAAACTTAATCTAAAGAAAGAT